CGGACAGGGAAAAAAGAGCTGATCCCAAGGGCTCAATGGAAAGTAAATGTGTAGAAAAGAACGATGGAATATATGTACGAATATGTCGGATACAATTGTTGTATGGCTTGTAACAAGAGTTATAAGGGCCCCAATAAAATGATTTAAAAAAACAACATTTAAACACCAGTGCAGCAATTCCTTAATTTAAAGGCACATCCTCCCACAGAAATTTTAATATGCCTACCTAAGGGTTAAGATTTGAAGGATATCCCCCAAAATACATGTCTGGATGTTGAAATCCTAAACCCTGTACCAATAAGCATGACATTAAAAAATAGGACTTTTCTTTTACGATGCTAATGAGGCCATACCAGCGTAGGGTCACTTTCGAACTATGAGACAGCAGGATGGACACAGAGACACAGGTGGGGGGAGACAGACACCCAGGAATACTAAAGGGCACCGAGGACTGCCAGCAGACACCTAGGACTGAGGGAGAGGCTCACACGAGGGCTCACTCTAAGGCCCTGCGTCCCTGTGAGCCTCCACAAAGGTGGGAAAAGGGAGCTCTGTTCACGAGAGTCCCCCGCCGTGGTAGCTCTATTATGGCAGCACAGGTGACCACGACACTAAGTAATTACAAAGTCACCGGTTTGGGTAACTCCATCTCCTCCACTTAATCTAGGACACTGAAGAGCAAGGCCTACCGACTGAGAATAAACGTCTGGCTCAAAAAAATCCAGGCCTTCCATGTTTTAGTCTTAATGTTACCCGGCAAGAGAAATAGCAAACAAAAAAACTACACTACTCAGGAATTTCAGAAAAACAAGTTGCAGCACTTTAGAAAACTATATCAGAAAGTACAGCAAAAATCAGACATACCGATTCAATGCATTGAACAAGGGGCCCAACCCAATAATACCCGAGTCATTTCAGGAAGGCCTGACATGAGCATTGCTGAAAACAAAAGCCCAAATTTCACCCGTTACCTGATGTCTCCTGTTGTGGAGAGGGACGTTCAGGGCATTGTACTGACTGTATTCTAAAAAACCAAAAGGATGTACGTGTCAGTCTCTCATTTTACACAAAGCGTCAGAAAAACAGCTTCCCTACAGAATTGTGACCGCTCAATGGCAAAACCCTATGGGCACAGGGATTTCAAATGACCAAAGCCAAAATCACCCCAACAGAATTAACAGAATCAGTAGCTCCTGGGTTGTGTTGTTTTTGTTTTTAACCTGCAGGTTAAGAAACCCAAACAAACCCTGTTTTTCCCTTTCTAAAACATCAAAACAGTTCTTGAGGGACCTGTTGAGATGTCAAAGAGCAGGCTCATGATGTTCTCCTGTCTGGAATAACTGCATATGGCTGTCACTGATCATCCCAGAATACAGGTGCTTCCATGCACTGCCATGCTCACTGTCCATCGCTGTCTGCTGCTTCTGATCCCAACAATGAACCCCTAACTTTGGGGGATGGTTTCCTCCTCACTATCTTCCCCTCTACCCTAGACCCTGCCATCAACCTCGGATAGCTTCCCAGCACCCAAGCTGCACTTCTGTGACGCCCGGTCCTTTAGACCTGCACTGCTGCTACCAGTTCACTCACACACCTGCCTCTTCTGCTGTGTTCAAAGTCAACATGACTCCAGTGCCAACGTCTCCGATTCTGAAAGTCCCTGTGCCGTTCTTATCTAATTCTCTCAATGTCTCCCTTTCTACCAAATCCACTGTGTGTCCCCTGCGTGGTCTCCTACCGGCCAGCTTCGCTCTGCTATCGGACCTCCAAGAACAGCCCTTGGTTTCCTTCCCAGCTTGTCCATCGTTCCTACTCCTGTGCTAACACAAAACCAGAGGCAGATGCACTCTGATACATTCTAGCTGCTCTGAAGCCTTCGGGGCTGCTCAGCACTGCCTCCCTATCCTATTTCCTACATCTACTCCAAGCCTTTTCCATGCTCAGGCCCCAATATCACTTTTCCTCTCATGGAGGAGCAGGAAGCCCTCAGCCCTACTTTGCCGACAGAACAAGACACAAATCACAAGGGGTTCTTACACTCTCTGTCCATCTCAGTACGGCTTCCCATTTCTTTCCTCACCTAACTCTCCTCTTAGGCCCTTAGGGTCCCTCCTCCGGATCCCTCACGGACCTGGCCCATCAATCATGCCTTCTTACATTTGTAAGATCACCTCATTACAAAAGAGAAAAAGGGATCTGTGAAAACTTGTTGAACTCTATCAGCACAGTGACTTGATCCCCTGGACTTATTAATACGTCTTTATTCTCTGCCTCCTCTTCCCTCCGAGGTATGCAACCTGTGCTTTTACATTCGACCCTGTCAAGTTCTCACTCCTTGCAATTTCCTTCACCCAAAACCAAACCCAACCCAACCCATTGCTGGTTGATTCCTACTCACAGCAATCTGTGAGTAGGACTGCCCTTGTGGGTTTCCAAGACGGTAAATCCTAATGGAAGCAGGCTGTTCCTGTTTTCTCAAGCACCTGTTCGATTCAAACTAACAACCTTTTAGTTAGCAGCCAACCTCTTAGTCACTGTACCACCATTAGCTCCAAAAAACCAAACCTCCTGCCTTTGAGTTAAGGCCAACTCATGAAGACCTTATAGATGGGTTCTGAGGGTAGCAATCCTCAAGGGAGTAGACGGCCTCACCTTTCTCCCAGAGTGGCGGGTGGGTTGAAACCTCGGACCTTGTGGTTAGCAGTCTGACACTACCTGAGAGCACCACCTGAGAGAGCTCTGCAGAGGGTAAACTACATCGCAACTCGGCCACTTTTCTATGTGGACGCCGAGACTGAGGTACCCAAGCACATAAAACCACTGTACTCCCACGGCTGCTCCACCCCCACTGCTCAAAAATAGCACTGCTGCGTCCCCTTTCGATCCTGAGCTAGCAAGCTGGAGTCTTCTCCACCGTGTACAAAGCACTTCTCACCAAGGACATGCGTCCTTTCCAAGTCACCAAATCCAGTCTGCAAGTCCAGCTGCCTTATCTTCATCACTCTAGCTCCCTCTATATAAACGGCAGTTAAACACGAGTTCTCCAGAGCAGCAGAACCAGTGAACCGCATGTGAATGTATATATGTATGTATGTTATACATGTGCATGTATGGATACATATATATATATATATATTTCAATGAAATAGGTCACAGAGTCATGATGCTGACAGATTCAAAATCAGCATGTTAGCTGTCTAGTTACTGGCTCATATGGCTGCAGGAAACCCAAAATCCATAGGACAGACAGCAGACTGCTGGCTCACATCTCAAGAACCCAAAGTCAGAGAATAAGGGGATGAAGGCTACAGAAGCCTCAAGTTTTGGCAGTACAGTCACATATATTGGATGCAGGTCACCCCAAAGAAACTAATTGGCTTTCAACCGACAGGTTTTTCAACTGATTAGCTGCTCACATCAGATCATAAAATGAAGGATGATTATATTATAGACCAATCATCAGTCTGGTGTCTGTCAAATCACTCAGAATTACATAGCCTAGCTAAGTTGGCTCATAACATTAATCATCATAGCCTTTCCATTGTCAACATGGCACGTGTATGCATACATCTCCTTAGATCATACATACTCTCTAAATAAAGACAAATAAAAGTCATGCTTTTGTCTAACATAATACAACTGCCATATGCTTAACGTGATACAACTAGTCAGAAATACGCAGGCCTTGTTAACATCGTATATTTTGCAATTAATGGGAGGTAGAAAATATTTATCTATGTGGGCACACACATAAGGCTAAGTCAAAAGGTATTTCTACAAACTCACAGAAACCTAAACAAAAAATATTGAAATGTGAAGGTATCGCTTCTTGACATCTCCTCCATTGAGGTCCACGTATTTCTGAAGGCAGGGCCTCCATCTCCCTGACCCGTCCCCAAAGAATTCTTCACTCTCAGATTGACATCCTATCAAGTGAGGAGTTCTGGCATCCTCAAGGGACTTAGATAATGTTCTTCTGAAGTGATCTCAAAGTTTAGGGAACAACAATTATTCTGAAAGGGCAAGATCAAGGCTGTGCATGGATGGGTGGGAGGAGAAAGGGGAAATTGATCACAAGGATCAATCTTAACCTCCTCCCAGGGGGGCGAATAACGGAAAAGTGGGTGAGGGGCGATGGAGGACGTTGTGAGATATGGAAATAATAATCTCTAACTTATCAAGGGCTCCTGAGGGAGGGGGAAGGGAAGGAGAAGAAATGGGGAGCAGATATTAGGGGCTCAAGTGGGAAGAAAATGCTTTGAAAATGATGATGGTGGCATATGTTAAGGTGATGATAGCCCACTGTCATTCTCCAGTTTGCCCGTTTTTCACATGGGCCATAAACAGACAAGCTGAACCACCACCCTGGAATCCTTCATCCTCGATGGTGGCGGTAATCTCTGCACTCACTTCAGGAACGTGGTGTAGCTTTTGATTTACGAGGAGATGCAATGGTTTCTACTGGGCCTTTCTGACCATATAAGCCCTTATCCCACATTTCAGAGATCAGCGTGGGAATTCTGCCAGGTGCTTAGTATGCCTGTTCCAATTATGCATTCTGGAACTGAAACGATCACTACATAGAGAAGCTTGTAACCTGCTGTATCCACTGTGAGACAGGCCTGGCCTAAGACTTTATAATAACCTGACTTCCAGACAGCCCAACTCTCACTGGTGGGCCACAGTGACTTACTGTTTCCTGGAATTGGTATCAGTTCAGAGCCAGTGATGAATGATCATCAAAAAGCCTGATTATTTTCTTTTCTTCAATGAATAGTCACTTTCATAAAAAGCTATAGATCCCTGACAAAATGGCCTGGAGGCCACATCTGCCCCCCTTCAGCTTCAGTAGGGAGGAGAATCCAATGCCAAGTCCAAGGTCAACTGCCACAAGGCAGAGGTCAGGCATGCCTCCATGCTTTCTCATCCTATGTGATACTAGCCATCCCTCTCACACCACTCTACTTCTCTGCTGGGCTCAATAACCCATTGCAGTGGTCATACAGGAGTCCCAGACAATACTCACGATTACAGGGATTTACTTGGGAAGTTAACAGGCTATCACAAACCAGTTTTGCCATTCCACTGGCTATAAGAAGCAGAAAGAGAGGAATCATTAAAAAAGACGAGCCACCAGCAGAGCACGTGCAAGGTCTCCGCCTGAAGTGGTGGAGGCACCAGAGGTTGCGCCACATCAAACCATGAAACAGCACAGGGGCAGTGCCGAGATCGTGAGGCCGAGCAACAGGCTTTCCAGCACGTAAAGCAAGGCAGAGGCTGGAGAACTCCGTGGCTGAGAACCTGAGAGAGACATGGCTGAGAGGAGGCATGTTTGTGGACAAAAATTGCATCCTTGGTATTTTCTGATCCCTAACAACCCGGGCTGAAGCCTCCACACAGCACAGCAGGACAATCATCACAGTAGTCTCTCAGCCTCCTTCCCCATTCCAGTGTAAGAGCCCTGGTAGCGTAGTGGTTACGTGTTGGGTTGCAAACCTCAAAGTCAGCAGTTCAAAATTACGAGGGGCTCCTTAGGAGAAAGAGGAAGCTTTCTACTCCCATAAAGAGTTACAATCGCTCTAACTGTAGCGGCCTGAGGTGACCTGCCAAAAAAAAACGGTTCACTACTCACTTGACCCAGAAAACCCTACAAAAACCTGCAAATCAAGAGGGTCGAACCTCCGGGTCCACTTCAAGAACACCCGTGAAACTGCCCAAGCCATCAAAGGCATGCATATCCGGAAAGCCACCAAATACTTGAAAGACGTCACTCTGCAGAAGCAGTGTGTGCCCCTCTGACGCTACAATGGTGGCACTGGTAGGTGTGCCCAAGCCAAACAGTGGGGTTGGACCCAGGGTCGGTGGCCCATAAAGAGTGCTGAATTTCTACTCCCCATGCTTAAAAATGCAGAAAGTAATGCTGAACTGAAGGGTTTAGATGTGGATTCTCTGGTCATTGAGCACATCCAGGTGAACAAAGCCCCCAAGGTGCGCCACCAGACTTACAGAGCTCATGGTCAGAGCAACCATGAGCTCCCCCACCACTTTGAGATGATCCTGACTGAGAAGGAACAAATTGTTCCCAAGCCAGAAAAGGAGGTTGCACAGAAGAAAAAGATTTCCCAGAAGAAATTGAAGAAGCAAAAACTCATGGCTCAGAAATAAATCAAGCTTAAAGTAATAAAAGTTAATAAAAGTTAAAGCAGTAAAAAAAGTTACAATCTCAGAACCCACGGGGGCAGTTTCACCCTGCCCTATGGTGTCACTATGAGTCAGAGTTGACCTGATGGCAGCGCGTTTGGCTTCTGAAGTGTGGCCTACACTGCTGGCAGATTAACCTGGTGAGTATACCAATTTCATTTCAACATGAGAGTCTGTGACTCAACCTCTCATTTTATAGCTCAAATCTCAAGTCTTGAGTCAGAAACCCAAAGGTCCAGTCCCATCTTCCTTTCAGTACTTGCCTGCCATTGTCCTCCACACCTGCTGCCACCTTGGTCTCTTACTATCTTTAACTAATTACTGCTCTCCACACCAGAATGGCACCTTTCATCCTATATGTAACGCTCCATGCAATGCTGTTTAATTCTTCTTTATCTCTGCCCAATAAAACCCACTCATCCACCCAGGCCCAATACTAAGCACACTTCTTCCAAGAAAGCTTCGCCAAACAAGCAGTAATCACTCTTTCCTTTGGAGCTACAAGAGGTTATCTAAAGCAGTCTAGCTTATATTTCAGACATTCCTATATCCTACCTCTCCCATACTGGACTCTAAGTTCCTGAAAACAGTTTTGATCTTATAAATGTTGGCTCGCCTTATGCTATTTACAGCCCCTGGGTGGAGGAAACAGTCGGTGCTCATCGACTGCCAGAAAAGTCTGTGGCTTAAGGCCCCCACTGGAGCAGCAGTTTTAGTCTATAACATGCCAGGGCACCATGTGTCAGAACCACACCGATGACAGTGGGTTGGTGTTTGGTTTATGCTATTGACCCATATTGAGGATGTGGCAAATTATCCCTGGATACCTCCTGACTCAAAGAATGAACCCGCAGGTGGGGGACTAGAAACTAAACCAGGTACGAAAAAAGGAAAATAAGCCCAAAAGAGAGTCAGAAGAAAATTATTACAACCTGATAACTGCCAGATACTAAGACTAAAGGGGAAATACGATGCTAAGGCTTCAAGTCTAGTGGCTCAAAGTATGCTAGAGTTTTTGGATTACTGTAAAAGCCAGAAATAGGTATTTTCTAAGGGAGGGAGGCTTAAGTTGTTGAATACAGTAGTGACATATGCTAATTTTACTGGTTTTCTTTCTTTTTTTAGATCTTCCCTAAAAAAATCTTTAGGGGAAGTAAAAATTAATCCCAATCATGTGACTGCAGAAAAAGGAAACGTATCAATTTAGCTAAAATTTGCAAAATCTTAATCCAAACCATTAAACATTATCTTTGCTTTCAAGATTCTGACTTACTGTGCAGCGATCACAAAAGGACCGCCTCTTTTCCATGTAAATTGGTGCTATATTTCATTCTTTAAAGATTTGGTGGTGTTATTGCTCTTGGGCATGTCCATTTCCAAGCAGGCCATTTCCCTGATGAACAGGAAATAGGGCTTGCCCAAGAGAGCCTTCAGATGCAATCAAAGGGCAGGTGGTACAAGACACCACACTGAGAAGCTTCCCCTCCCCCACAAACACCACCATGAGCCAAACCTTTTCTTATTGTAAATGTAACAAATGTAAACCAACATTTACAGGTTGGTTTTTTTACCTCGAGACATGCTACATATACTCAGTCAAAAACATGGACTTGGGCTTACTTATCTATGCAGTAGTTAAGTATCAATCTAAAATCTCTCCTATGGAATATGAGGGCAAAAATTCATCAGAAGCACAAAAAAGAAGGCAACTCTATGTTGTGCCATTTAAGCGTTTTGACAACCAGATTAGAAATGATGTCAACTAGTGGACAACCACAAGTTGGGAAATTCAAAGTTGCAAATAATGGAAACGTGTACACAATACCTACTTGTATCATTAAAAGGTACTTTTTCATTGATGATTAATAAGGATTCCTCTAATCTACCGGACAAATCTTCGTGAAGATTCTTTAACTGCAATTGACTGAAAGAAAAAACACAAAACCATATTATCGCCGACGAGACAGTGACTCCCCATGTGTTCCACCAGTTCAACAGATGGTGCTGCGCTTCAGAGGCTGATGTTTACAGCTAGGACACTCTTGGTGGTGGAGAACTGTTCAAAGATAAAGATGAGAAAATGACTAAGGCTCGATTCTAAAACCACAAGGACTTGTGTTGAATGATGCGGCAGTTTGGAAGAATTTATCCCAGTCAAGCATGTATCTTACCCACCCTTCGGTTTATTTCCCTAAACTCAAAGTAATTTCACAGCTATTGCAAAATCAAATTTTCTCCTTATAACATATGCATGTTTATTCTAGTATTACTAGAAAGGCTTTGCTTGCTTTTTTTAAAACTAAATATATCAGATCTTTTCCCTTGGAGTGCAAAGAAAATATGCTGATGTTTTTTCTAATTCAATTATGAGACCAGGCATACAGCTGAATCATGTATGTGATTTTGCCAATGCAAGTAATTGAAATTTTAAAATATGCTTAAATTGGTCCTATTCAAAGTATTATGTTGTTTATCAAGGAAGCAACTCCCATCCATAGTAATATTCTAATTTGAAAGGTTTGTATTGTTCCTGATTACATTAGATAATAACCATTATTGAATTCAAAATATATTTTCAAAGGGCTGCACTGTGATGACTTATGAATCTTCCTGCCTGATACCAGCAGAGGGCCTTAGCAGAGTTTGAAGCAGAAAAGGAGTCCCAGAAAGCTCTCGGCCACAATACCTAACATCTGAAGGCGGAGGGCTCTGCACAGACCACTCTGCCAAGAATGCTCCAGGCGACAAAGATCACAACGCTGAAATGGACCCTGGACAGGAAGTACCTTCTCCCCTCCCATCTCCACTTCCCCACTTCACTGTGCAAATGGGAGAATTTAGGACGCGAGCTGCAAAAGCCAAAACTCAGGTCTTTCGAATCTTACTTCAGATCCCCCAAAGAATCCACACGGCACATACCATTCTTCTGTTCGCAGGCGACATTCCTTGGCCTCCTTTTCCAGGGCCAGAGACTTGACCTGGATTTTGAAAGAAGCGGGGAAAGGAGATGGCTCAGGCTACAGATGGGGCACCCTGAGGAGGCAGTGCGGGCATCAGGCTACCTCTGTGCTATCAGGCGCCCAGAGGGAGCCGTGACCCCCCCTGGCACGCGTGCTCGCGCCAATAGCGGGGCTTACTTCTAGTCTCGCCTTGTCGTTCTGCAGTTTCTCAATGGTTTCCATGTACTTCCGAGTCAGACCGTCGACCACCGCGTGGTTCTGGGCCGCCTCCAGCTCCAGGGTGGCCAGCCGACTCCGCAGCTCCGCCTCCACATGTTTGTGCTGCTCGTCGGCTTCAAAGAACTGCAAGGCAAGCATCCTTCCTCCTATCAAAGCATCCTTCCACGCGCAAAGGGCGAGCACAGCGGCGCGGTTCGTCTAGGGACGCCTCCACACGCGCCCTCACGCGAGCCCACTGGGTCAGTCCCCGCAGGGTCTGGGGCAGTTACGACTGCCCACCCTTTACGGATGTGGACGCAGGGCTTCGTGGGATTACACGCGTTCGCCAGTGGCTCACCGCTACCACGGAATAAAAGTAAGGCTGGTACACAGGACAACTATGCCAGCGCCTCCTTGTGTCCTGTCTCATGAAGTTCTCTTTCAAACAATTTCTGGAGTACAGGGAATCCCATTGTCAGGTGTTAACTTTTCTTCTTCTGGGCTAACTGCCATAATCAGATAATCAAAATTAAAACAAATGCTCTTGCTAAAAATAGGTAAACCTTTCTCACGTAGGGGAGTCTATTAAGAATTATGAAGATTTCAGATACACAATACACTGAGGTCAAAAGGTCATTTGTTACCCTTTTAAAAGAGGAAGAACTTGATTTGGATTCGAATAAAAAAATTAGGAGATCTATTGGGATACACCCTACTGTGACTCTGACTTTGGCACAGTCATTCCTTATTCACCACCATTCCATCAATACCTGAGTGTTGGCCACAGAGGAGGCCTGGTGCCGGGCTGGGCACATGTGCCCTCCCAGACCTTACAGGTAACAGAAACAAAGTCCACTAAATATTTTTTTTCTTTTTTTTTTTTAATCATTTTTTAGGGGCTCATACAACGTTTATCACAATCCATACATACATCAACTGTGTAAAGCACATTTGTACATTCCTTGCCCTCATCATTCTCAAAACATTTCCTCTCCACTTAAGCCCATGGCATTAGGTCCTCATTTTTCCCCTCCCTCCCCGTTCCCCCCTTCCCCATGAGCCCTTGATAATTCATAAACTGTTATTCTGTCATCTTGCCCTGTCCGACGTCTCCCTTCACCCACTTTTTGGTTGTCCGTCCCCCAGGGAGGAGGTCACATATAGTTCCTTGTAATCGGTTCCCTCTTTCCAACCCACTCTCCCTCTACCCTCCCAGTATCGCCACTCTCACCACTGGTCCTGTAAGGATCATCTGCCCTGAATTCCCTGTATTCCCAGTTCCTATCTGTACCAGTGTACATCCTCTGGTCTAGCCAAGTCCACTAAATATTACCCAAGCAAAAAGCAAAGGCCCATCTAAATGATCCACCCAATCACTTCCTGTGGAAAATGGATAGTTCCCACACATTTCTGTGTTGTTACGCTATAAACATATTCTGCTGCCCTCTGGACACAGGCAGGCTATAAAGCACACCTTCACTTTAAGATGACATGAGATTCAAGAAATGAATAAATGATGGGGCACTCACACATCTAGGAAGAGGGAGTCATTAAAACACCCTCCCATGTCCCATAGCGCCCCTCCCCTACCGCACCCCCGGGGAAACATCCTACAATCTATGTCAGACAATCCATAACGTTACTCATCAGGAAAAACAGAACGATGAACTCACTCACTTGTATATGCAACCGTTCGTTCTCTTTGATCTTCTTTTGCAGATCTTCATCAAAGACACTCTTCTGCTCTTGGCTCAACTGAGAGGAAGATTCCCCACTTTTCTGATGGAAAGAATACATTATGTCCACATCACTTTCATCCTTTAGAGAAACATTCTAAGGTACACAGATTCCCTATCACCTTAATGGCTCGTCTCTTCTACATGTTTATCATTCTCAAAAAATCCTGCACAAGGCATACAGTCCATCATTTAACTTTGCCTATGTGACCCAAGTTGGAACTGCAAATATTGCAATGGACAGGAAAGCTTCAGAGGGGCGGGAAGGGAGAGTAGATCAGGCTGACTCTTCTTCACAGAGGCAGAGCAAACCCAGAAATCTAGCAATACAAACATGGGAAAAAAACTATTTCAATTTGATCTTTTGGTTTAGGAAATGACAGCCTTAGCAATTTCCTGTCTGAGTTGATAAATTCTCATGAAATGCTGAACAGCATTTCCAAAGATAAGTGTATCCCAAAGTTCACATGAATTTCAAATTGTGTTTCAAAAAGCATGGCCATATAAAATAAAACCACGATAGACAAAGCGCAAGAGAAAAGTTCAAAGATTATGAAAAGCACCTTCCTTTTACATGTGTTAATATTCACATTTTCCAGAGAGAAGAATAGCACTATTTAAAAGATCCCGTAAGGAGCATTTGTTTTCATGTATGGAGTGGGACTGAGGCTATTCAAAAGGCAGGCTAACACAGAAACTGTTTCTGCATTTCGGTCACCACCCTTCCCTGTCTTCTTGTACCCCTCATGCACTCAGTACTCAAATGAAGTCCCTACTGAACTAAAACGATACAAGTTAGCTCAGTTAAGAATGAAAATCCCTTTGGAAATGGAGCAGCTATCTAAAAACAATATGAGATACGCAGCATGGTTAGAACACATAAGGTGTGGAAGAAGCACTGCTGAACGCCATACTCTGGGTCCATGGCATTTCCAAACTTGGGAAATTACCAAAAAAAAGTCACTGCCATCAATTTGATTCCAACTCAAGGCGACCCTCCAGAAGAGAGCAGAACTGCCCCAGAGGGTCGGAAAAGCGCCCATTCATATCCATTCAGAGGTTTTTGACCCAAACCCTCCTTAAAACAAACTGTCCTGGAAGAGGGCTTAAAGTAGTGGGGAAGTATAAGTGGTATTCCCTCCCCAGGGGCTTTCAGGATTCCCAGAGAATTTGTGTTGTTTGTTTGTTTGTTTGACCCTGACAAACAGTGTTATTAAATCTTAAACGGGGAACAGACAACACAAAGAAACAGACACATCATCTAGATGAGGGAGGCCCTTAGCACGAGGTCATAATGATGGCTGGGGCTTCACGCTCAGAATGCTAGTTAAATAAGGACTGGAAAATGGAAACTGTCACAAAGTCATGGTTGGTGACAGAGTAGTACATCACAGTTACAGGTGGGACTACAGACATAGAAATAGGACCATCATTGGGACGTGTGGATTATGTCAGACAGAAGATTGGCCTTCCGACCAAGATGGTCAGGGTACAACTGACAGAGTTGACTCATGACTACTGAACCTCTAGTACTGTCCCCAGTAAAATGATCCTCACGAAGAACACCCCCAGGCAATCCCCTAACCCAGGCTGGCTGGGCAGGCTGGAGGGAGTAGAGGTAATCTACTTTCCAGTGTGCACTCTGAGGGCAAGAATATCTACATCTTCGGTTGATGATCAATAAGGAGTTCAATTGAGGCTTAAGTGAACTCTGCAAATGGATCTGGGGCTTTATCTGTCATCCACAGCCTTCCGCAAATGAGATGCCCAGAAGCATTTGTGTTTTTCAAACTATTCTAATACATCCCTGGTTTGCCCTCTCTGTTCCCCCTTTACCTGAAAATTACTGCTCTAGGGAATTCCTCCATGTATGGGAAATACATATAGAAAAGGTCACTCATTCCCTGCTGTCAGGTTAATTCTAATAGCCACTCCATAGGGCAAAGTAGAACTGCGCCTGTGGGTTTCTGAAGTGGTAGATCTTTACAGGAGCATAAAGCCTCATCTTTCTCCAGAGAAGCGGCTGATAGGGTCAAACTGCTGACCTTGTGTTTGGTTAATAACCCACTACTATGTTGAATGCCCATTTTGTAAAAATACAGTCAGGGCAAAACCAAATGGTCTTCATGAAAATAAGTATAGGGTTTATACAACACTATGACTAGGGAGTCCTGGTGGTATAGTGAGTTACAAGCTAACTGGAAGCTCAGTGGTTTGAAACCACTAGCCACTCCAAGGAAGAAAGATGAGACCTTTACTCCAGCTAAGATCGACAGTCTCAAGAACCCACGGGGGCAGTCTACTCTCGTCTATAGGACTGCTACTAGTCAGAATGACTCAACAGTACCAGTGCGTGATGATATGAAAGCTTCAACTGGTACTTGCATCTCATTTAGGCAGTAGTTATACCGTAACAATGTATCTCATTATATCTGTTCTACTTTGTGTCAATGGCAATTTGGTCTAGCTAACAGACAGTAACAATTTTGGCCAATATGACGTTTGCTTCTGTTTTTCTCAGCCACTTAATCAGCCATGTATGTGTTTGGTCCTAAGAAATTCTTTAAAACTTAATTTCATATACCTCTTTGCCATGAGACCAGAACTAACTGGATGGTGCCCAGCCACACAACTAAACATTTGGATCATAGACTCCATAGAAGAATCCCAATCAACGTGGGGACATGCAAAACAGAATTTCACAAGAAGCTATGGAGAGTGAGTGGGCCCCTGAAACCCCAATTACCCCGGATATTTAAATCACAAACCAAAAATACTCCATGAAGTAGTCTTAAAATTGAACAACGGTTTAGCCTAACGAGTAACAAAGGTCTGCCTTGCGCACTCTGCTCTTTCAAGAACAATGAAGGGCTTTTAGAAAGCTTGCGGAAAGATTCCACCACCTTTGATTCCATTTCGCCACAAACTTTTCAGAGCCCTCTCAGATCTAAAAACCTTCAAATTGACAAGAACAACTCAAAGTCATTTGACAGAAACCTTAGGTGGCTGTAGGTTTATGTTAATGAGGGAAGCACAACTCAGAAAAAGGTGAGAATGTTTGTAGAACTCAAAGAATGTAATCAATGTAACTGAACTGTACATGAGAAACAAAATGATACTGACCCGTTACATAGTAACAAAATGTAACTAAATTCTACGTGCAGTTGAATGTTTTGCTCATGACAAGAAAAAACAACTTAACGTCATTGTATTTAATAACATACTAATGCCTGCCTTCTAGACCCCATATTAGGTCAAATATTTGGGGATAACTTAAAAGTAAATTAAACAGTTTGGGGGGTGGCAATTCCTGTTAAAACCAGGATGGCGTAGAGATTCTGTATGTAACTATAAAGTCGCATTAATTTCCTTTTACTTGACTACCTTGTTTTTCTTGCCTCGGGGTTCACTTAGAGCCAGTTCATCTTGAAGTAGTTCCACCCTCTTAGCAAGCTGTAGATTTCGAAATGTCAAACTGTCCATTTCCTGTTGTAGTTTTCTCAACGATTGATCCTTCATCTTTAGTTGTTCCTGCAAAGCGACAACAGAGCACGCCTCAGAATGTAGCCTGAAGGCTTAGGAACTGCACGTGTTACACACATACCCCTTTGTTTCATTACAACGTAATCAGATCCACTTGCTTCAGAGAATTCGTGTTGTACCTTTATCATTCCAGCTCTTATGTTTGCGGTTGTTTCATGGCAAAATCACTTGGGGGCAGATGTAAATTAAAATATAAAATGAAAACAGCAAATGTGCTGGAGTTAAAAGGCAGTCATCAAGTCAAAGTAAAATCTCCACCACTATATGCAGTTCAATGTAAGACAGTCAACAGACAAACAGCCCGGGGCTATCAATGTATAAAAGACAGCCAACAGATAAACAACCTGGGGCTATAAATGTAAAGACAAAAATTTTAAGAGAACTCAGACTCATCATTGGGCGAGAATGGGAAGAAATATATTTGTATTCATTTTTTCGATATATATCCTCCCTGAATTTAAATCCGTTAAAATGACATCTTTTCAATGCCCTTAATTTTACTTTTACATTCTGATATGACAAAGATAAAAATCTACATTATAATAACACAAAAATATTTTCAGTGCTGTTCTTCATGAATTCACTATAAAATCAAATGAAGATAGAAACAAAAATCTAAACTCTAAACCACACACTGCTTGCAGACCATTCTGTACTTGGTTTATTTCTTAATTTGATAAACAAATGGGAAACTAAAGAAAAGTATCATATATACTCACATAAGCTGTTTTGCAGCATATTTTTAATGCAGTTTTTGTGGTAAAATCAGGTGCCCCGGCTGATATTTGGGTCAGCTTATACTCAAGCATATATGGTACTTAGTTTCATTCTGCTTACATCGAGAAAAACATTGTCTAACTATATTTGGCTTATCGCCAGTAAGCAAAAGCTTTGCATTCACTGATAATCAAACACAGATGGCCAGTTTGGATTAAAAAAAGGTTCAGACTCTTAAAATCGGTTGCTACAGTTAGTTGTTGTGAAGCAGATACTGACCCCTGCGACCCTGTGTGCAGAGAACTGAGCTCCACAGCATTCTCAAGGCTCTGACCTGTCTTCCAAGGTGCCTCCGGGTGGATTCAAACTGCTAACTTTTTGGGCAGCAGCTGAGAGCTCACCTATACACACTACCCAAGAACTCCTTAAAATCTACTACTGTAAATGTAAAGGATTGGGTCTTGGTGGTGCTGTGGGTCAAGCATTGGGCTACTAACCCCAAGGTCCCTGGTTCAAGCCCAACACGTGCTTCACAAGGGAAAGACGAGGCTGTCGATAACGATTCATGGTCTCAGAAATCCTACAGAGTTGCTGTGAGTAGGAATATACTCAATTGGCAGTGCGTTTTGGCACCTGTGTTACTTTGCCTGAAACAATCATTAAACCAAGAAAAGTCAAATTTTAATAAAGAGATGATTAGTACATTAAAACCAAAAACTTAAAAACAAAGCTTACTACTATTGAGTCAATTCGGACTCATAGTGACCCTTTGGAGAGAGTGGAAACGCTCCCTGTAGGTTTGCAAGGTTATAAATCTTTCCGGGAGCAGAAAGTCTACCACCTTTCTCCTGCAGAATGTAGAGCGTATCGTGGAGTGCCAGAGAACCAGCACATCTGTCTGGAAGAAGTACAACACAGCCAGAATGCTCCTCAGAAGCGAAGGGGGTAAGACTTTGTCTCGCGTACTTTGGCCATGTTGTCAGGAGAGACCAGTCCCTGGAGAAGGACATCCTGCTAAGTCAAGCAGAGGACAGCAAGAAGAGGAAGACTCTGGAATATCGTGGATTGACACAGTGGGTGCAAACATAAGAACAACTGTGAGGATGGCACAGGACCGGGTGGCGTTTAGTTCTGTTGTGCAGAGTCGTTATGAATTGGAACTGGCCCCATGGCACCTGACAATAACAACTTCGACAACACACACCCAATAACTACCTGAGGAGGCAAAGCAATGAAATCAAACGCCTGCTGTAAGAGAGGGCATCCTAGCAGTCCCTTCTAACAAACTGGTCCATTGTCATCGGCCCTGTAATGAGAGTCACCTCTACAATGAACAATAAAACAACAGCAATTTCTTTACATCGTTATCATTAGTTAGCCATTAGCTGACTAAGGTTGCAACTCGATGGAGCCAGTCAACGATTAAGTTCGGAAGGGCATCTATCACCACCTTTCCCTCAACTAACCCCCATTGCTGCAAGTGAGGATGCTAACACTGGGATAGACACAGCGAGATCAGAGTCAGGGAACTTAGCACAAAGCCTGCTACCAGGTGAGTGCTCTCAGTAAATGGTGCCATGACCTCTGTCACTACTGTCATCACCATCACGTCGTCCCCAACACAACGCTCATCAAACACAGCTGGCATCAGTAGTGTATCCAACACCACAACAGGCTACTAAGATATGGTAGGAAATACTTATATTAGGAGGGAAAAAAAAAGAAGATTTTTCATTTCTTCAATAAAACAATGTTGGCCTGAGTGCAGAGCAGGTAGGGAGCCATCTCAGGCCTGAGTTCATGGTAACAGTGCACAAGGAGGGGGCACTCTCAGAAACAGTCCTCTATTGTGTAAGGTCCAACAATCAATGCTGGTTGGTTAGGGGACATATTTCTGAGTCCTGGTCACCTGAGTGGCCCCATCTGGGAAATAACACTGGTTGGGGCTATCCTGAAAGCGATCCCTTCTATTGACAGGAAGGAGTAGAGGAAGCAAGGAAGAGAGTGAAAGAGTCAGGTAAGCACACTATCCATTACCATCCAGTTGATTCCAACTCTTAGCAACCCCCTGAGAGGGGAACTACCCCATAGGGAGGCCAAGGCTACCATCTTTCCAGATGTAGACTGCCTCTCCTTTTGTCTGCAGTGGCTGGTGAGTTTGAACCGTCAACCTTTTGGCAAGCAAGTGAGCACTTTAACCACTGTGCTATCAGGGCTCCTTGGTAGGCAGGCTATTTAGACAAAAGTTGGCCAAGAAGGAGTCCAGATCCTAGAATCAATTAATCCATTAAGAAAATCTCCTCGGCAATCTCCATTCGAAGCCTACCAGAATGGAGTACAAATTCCTTCATCCCCTACATCTCCTTCTTCACAGAACAAAGGCAATGATGGTGAAATGTACCACTCAAAAGAAATGTCCTGGTTAGCACAATGTGCCCTTACCAAAAGCTGAACCCAAAAGCAAGATGAGTGAGTTCAATGAGTCACAAACATCAACCAACTCATTAAAGGCCTACTGTGTGCTAGGGAACCCTGGTGGAATAGTGGTTACACTTTGGGCTGCTCACCACAAGGTCAGCAGTTCAAAACGACCAGCCGCTCCATGGGAGAAAGATGAGGCTCTCTACACCTGTAAAGAGTTACCGTCGCAGAAACCCACTGAGGGCAGTTCTACTATGAGTCAGTATCAATTCAAAGGCAATGTGTTATCTGCTGCATGCTGGGGACATAGATACAGTCTCCCTCAGAGTAGTCCATCCAGTGAGTGAAAACAGGTAAGGATGAAGCTCCAGGTCTAGGAAGGATACATTGCATTGCCTCAAAGATACTTTTCAGGGAGTAATTTTTAGCTAAGGAAATCGAAGCACATTATTACATCCATTCCCAATAAATAGAAACATTAAGCAAACATAAACACTATCTTACCTACCGCTGTCCTTAGGAAATAAGTGTCAGGTTTGGGACTTTAACCCAGAAAACTGGATGTGTCCCCGGCACACAGCATCGCCACACGCGAACTTAACCCTCCTGAGACCAAGACCCTGGTGCATACCTTTAAAGCAGCAGAATTCGCCTGTTCATCCACAACGCCTTTTTTCAAGACCTGATTCTGAGCCCGAAGCTGAAAGAGAGGAGGCAGTTAATTAAATTTTCAACATGAGGCAATCCTTTGTAAGGAAATCAATTACCATTCCTCCAAAAGAATTATTATACTGAATAACTAAATATGGGAGGAAGAAAGATCAGCTCCAAAGAGGGCAGTAGATACAATCTGCTAGTTGCCGAGCTGCCCAAAGACATCAGATCAGTCCACCTCTCCTGACTTCCTGTCCATCCTTCTCTCTGTGGGACAGCCAGGTTACCTCCCCAAATAAAATTCCATCCTAATCAAGGAGTACTGAATGTACACTCTTCCTGGAAATGCTGGCACACTATTCTTTTGGAAAATGAATCCTGGAACAAGGATGGCAGAGAAAATAAAATGTGGGGCCTTGTCATGCTCAGTGGGATACTGTGCTGGACATTAGACATGCAAAGGCCATCAGCAGCAATGTCCTCAGGGTGGCAAGCTGCCACCAGGCATCGGCTGACTGAGTATAAAAACACAACTAGGAAGCAGGCGCAACTGAAAAATTCATCGCAAGAGCAGCGTGCTTTTGGTCCCAGGTAACTTGGGTCTTTTCCACGTACTACCTCATCGAATCCTCACAACTAGATGGGGTCAGTGCTCGGGGTATCTCCGTTTTACAGAAGAGGAAACCGAGACACAGAAAAGTTATTAACAATGCTGAGGTTCAGACCCAACAGCCATGAGTTCACTCACAAGCTTCATCAGTATATACTGGCTACTATTTTTACAAAGTTGCTTTTGAGCAGTAACTAGCCATCCTGGACATGCGGATTAAAACAACGATGAGCTTCCCACTTTACACCAACACTGACAGTCAAATTCAATCAAACAGAAATAAAGAAATGCTAGAGAAGCTGCGGAGAGATCGGAACCCTCCTACCCTGGTGGACTACCGTGGTGGAAAGCGATGTGGCACAATCTCAAACAACTGGGAGTAGAAATTCCCTCTGTTCCAGCCGTCCCTCTGCTGGGTATATCTCCTAAAGAAGTAGGAGTCCTAAAGTGAGTTCACATACGCACACCCAGGTTCACCGCAGCGCTGTTCACAATAGCAAGAAGACAGGAACGACCTCAATGCCCACCAGTAGAAACATGTATAAACTCTGGCACATACACACAAAGGGAAGCTATGTTGTTGTTGTGTTCCTATGCTTGAGGCCATTGCTGCTGTCATTGTGTCAGCTCATCTTGGCAACAATCTTCTTTTTCGCTGCCCCTCTACTTTCCCAACCACGATGTCCTTCTCCAGGGACTGGTCTCTCCTGACATGTCCAAAGCATGTGAGACGAAGTCTTGCCATCTGTGCCTGCCTGTCAGGTTGCTGTACTGGGGTGGCTTGTGTGTTGTTGTGATGCCACTGGTATTTCAAATACCAGCAGGGTCACCCAAGATGTAATACTATCCATCCCTATAGGGCAATGTTAGGACCACGATGCAAGTCATGACGGGAACAGATAGACCTGGAGAACATCATGCGGAGTGAAATCAGCCGATCAGAAAAGGGAAAATATTACATGAGATCACTGTTACAAAGGAAAAAATATATTTATAAACAAGATAAAGGCTTTCATACCAAACTGAACAGACTTTAGAGACTGCCAAGGAAGGGAGGTCAACAGGGGAAGGTAAAGCAACAGGCTAAACTGTGGCCGAGTGTTAGCTTGGCTGTAATGGAAGAGAGTAAGTAGCCCACGAGAGGGAGAAAAGAAATGAAGGCCTGGGTGAAGGGTAAACTCTAACTAGTACTTTAAACTGTTGCATACAAGTTGATTATTTGAATTATAAACCCCTGTGTACTGTACAATTAAAAATTGAGGGGAAAATATAAAGAGGGAGACATCTTTGGGGTAGAGGTAGGGCTTTGTGGGTTTTCTTCCTCATATTTTTTAAGTTGAAGTACAACCTTAAAATAAAGCACAGAAATCAAAACTATACAGCTTAATTTCTCTTACGGCTACAGCAGCACAGCCACTGGCTGGGTTTAGAAAGATGAAATTCACGTCTGCAGTGCAAGGCAAGCATTCTCAGCCGGGAGCACATGGCAGGTCAGTGTCACACCACAACCCAGTGTGGCTGCAGCAAAGGGTCCGCAGATGCATATCCTGAGGGCTGAGTACAGAGACCAAGAGCGGCTAGGTTCTTCTCTTTGAAGTGGAAAAGAATAGGACAATTTTACCTGCGAGTTTGAAAAATAATCTATTTCTAATTCAGCTTAGCTCCACCCTGCCTCCTGAGAACAGAAAAGGTCCTTGTTTGTGCCAAAAGAGTAGGGATATTTGAGCATTTGAAACGCCATAGAAACTTGAGCTCCGATTCTAGGAAGTAAAGCCAGAGAAAACGGCAGACTAAAGATCAGCTTCTTCTAGTTTTCAACAGCTGAAAGTCACACAGGTCACTGTCACCACACAAGAAGACCGCACACGCAGTATGCAGGTCGACCCCTCCTAAGCCTCAGTCCTAACACTGGTAAAATGGGTCAGTACACTTGCCCCATCTGCTTCCTTTGGAGGGTGCTGAGAGCCAGAGGAGAAAACGTGACCAATTCACAATCTACACCAGACCATGCCAAACCCCTCTACCAGGTGTAAAGCACACTACACGAGATAAAGGATATAGGGGAAGAGAAAGAAGTACCCCTACCACCCGTTTTCAAAGAGCTTACAATTCAGACAGGAAGATGAAATGCGTAAAACATAACTAGACGATCAGTATTTCCGGCCTTAAGAATATTGTCTAGACACTGAATTCTTTACAACAGGAACCAGCAAACCATGGTCCACGGGCCAATTCTGTTGTGCTCTGTTTTCTTAAATAAACTGAAGTATAGCCATTCACTCCTCTAAATTCTGTCTACAGCAGTTTTTGAGATCCCCAGACAGAATCAAGAAATTGAAACAGAAGCTGTAGGGCCCCAAGCCTAAAATATTTACTATCTGGCCCTTCTAACAAAGAAGCTACAATTCCTGCTCCAGATGTTCAGAAGAGAAAAAGACCACGTCAACATTGTGTCTGTCCCCCAATGTTCTACTTTTAAGCAATATCACAGACTGCTGGGTAAGGTGGTCCCTAGATAACAGGATTCAACACTGTCAGGCCACAGAGCCAAACGACAAGCAAGACCACGTCGCTTTTCAGGTTTCAGTCCATGATTCTTACAAATTTGATCTACAATCTCTTATCAGTCTCCCCTGTGAGCCATTTGCAAGTTCCTAACGAGTGCTTCAAGAGCGCTGGTGGCCCAGTGGGTTATCTGTTGTGCCAACCACGAGCTGAACAACTTGAACTGCTAGTCACTTGGAGGAAAAAGGTGGGGCTTTGTGCACCCATCAAAGTTCACAGCCTCCAAAATCCACAGGAGCAGTTCTACCCTGTTCGTTAAGAACACTGTCAGTTTTTTGGTTTAACGAAGGCTTTGAAGACTTCCTACACCAACCCCCAAGCCCACTGACAGTGAGGCGATTCTGACGCAGAGCACCCCTCTGTAAGGGTATCTCGGCTTTGTAAGTCTTTACAGGAGCAGCGTGCTCATCTTTCTCCGCAAGAGATTGGTGGTGGTGAGCCACCAGCCTCGCAGTCAGCAGTCAAATGCTTACTCCACAGGGTCACCAGGGCTCTCTCACAGGTCGCCGAGTGGTGCAATCGACTGTGAACCTCACGTTGAGCAGTTCAAGCTGACCCTGTGTGCTGTGTGAGAAAGGTCTGGGAATCCGCTGCTCTAAGACTACCCTATGGAACAGTTCTATTCTGTCCAGCAAGGTTGCCGCGAGTCTACATCAACTTGACAGCAACAGGTCTGGGTTTTCTGTTGTTTTATGGCTGCTTCAAGGACCAGGGGTGAAAGCTCAACTGATAATTTCCTATAGGACCAGAACTACAGCAATTAAAACAAGAACTTGTCTATCATTTCTAAGGGACTATTCAAGGCTACTTAAAGCAAACTAGACAGCGAATTTGTTAAAATTCAAAAACAAAATTTTCAAATTACTGCTGTTTAGAATTTAATCTGGTTGTAATAAACAATGATTTGGAATTTCCTTTGATAAACATTTGCAAATTTGGTAACAACTCAAAAATGAATCAAAGCTGCTTAACCAAAAAAATACAGTTCTTTTTACAATATTTATCTAAACATTCGTTAGTCGGTAGAAGATGCTGCTGCTGACAAGCTCAGCATCTTCCATTGTCATTTAATTAAACTGCGTGGCATTTGACATTTTCCGGGTCTTCGGCATCACCACAGTCATGTTCCTGGCGTCGTCGCTGAGTGAAAGCTGTCAGTTCCTGGCACCGCTGGGATCCCTCTGCGCTTTTAGCATCTGTCTGTCTCCTCACCAGCACTCAGCCCCTCAGGGAGGCGAACGCAGTGTTTGGTTTAGAATCAGTACGGGCACAAGACCACCGACGGCCACTAATACCTCCAGCAGACACGTGTGGAAACCCCAACACATGAATGCAACTGAGAAGCAAATGCCCTGCAGTCGCCATTAAAAACCCACTGCCATCAAAACCGAAAAGTGGATGAAGGGAGACATTGGACGGTGGAAGACCTGACAAAATAATAATAATTTATAAATTATCAAGGGTTCAGGACGGAGGGGGAGCGGGGAGGGAGGGGAAAAAATGAGGAGCTGATACCAAAGGCTCAAGTAGAAAGCAAATGTTTTGAGAATGATGATGGCAACAAATGTACAAATGTGCTTGACACAATGGCTGTATGTCTGGATTGTGATAAGAGTTGTATGAGCCCCCAATAAAATGATTAGAAAAAGAACTAAAAGATATAAGGAAAGAAAAAAAACCCACTGCCATCTAGTCTAGTCTCATCCATGACGTCTCACTGTGACCCTTTAGAACAGAGTGCAGCTGCTCCATTCGGTTTCTGACCCAGTTTGAAGCCCAGTGCTTAATCCACGGTGCCACTAGGGCTCCAGAAGTCTCAGCTAGGACCAAGAAACCTCTGCAGAAGACAAGCTTGCCTATGCTCAGCAGCCCTTCAATGCCGTTCAAGGAAACAACACATGGCCATGGTCAAGGCGACCTCACCTCTCTGGATCCTAACTC